AAGAAAGAAAGAAAGAAAGAAAGAAAGAAAGAAAGAAAGAAAGAAAGAAAGAAAGAAAAAGTGACCCAACTCTAGCAAGAGAGTGTACTTGCCTGCCAGTATCTGTTACCCTCCATGCTGGCAAAATGTCTAATAACAGGTTCTCTGGCCGGTTGGGAGTGCTGGAGGGAAGTCCACATTAGTAGTATTTGCCAATTTCTTTGGTGTAAATACTCCCACCAAGGCTGATTTCAAGAAGTCATATCAATGAATAAGGAATTGGAAGGGGGGCAATGCATGTGATTGGCTCTCATGAGCCTACATAAGCCCACTCCAAACACCACCAAATTGTCCCCTTCTTTCTTCTACTAACAGAAAGTCCCCTTTGTGTTTCATCAGGGCTCATGGTCACTTGGCTGGAAACTGGCTGTGATATACACCTGTGCCCTGTATCACATGTGCCCTATGGCCACATAAAGAAGATCTGGTCAGGGGCCTGTGAACAGAAGTGATGTGGGCAGATTCTCTGTACCTCCTTACGACCAGGAGCACTGGTCATTCCAGCTCTCTCTGTCCTCCTTCCTGCAGGCTGGAATGTGGACATGGTAGAGATGAGGAGAACATCTTGGATGGTAGCGGGGGATGCAGGTTGGAGAGAAACTGGATGTTTGGGTGACCTCACCCAGCAGAGCTTCCTAACCACCCTGGACCAGTCACTTACGTCTTCTGTTTTAGGAAAGAAGTCAATGTGTACCTTGTTTAAGACTTTTATTTTGAAACCTCTTATTATGGCAGCTTATCCGACTACTGCCTAATACTTAGCTCTAGGACCCCCAAGGATTTGATGCATTTTTATGGATATCATTGCGACAAACTCTACCCTCTGTTTTAAGATGTCCCAAACGAGTCTGTCTAGATTATAAGCGAAAGATTACTAGTCAGCATTTGCTAGGCTATGCAGCAGAAACCACCCCACAGTCTCAACAGCTGACAACAACAAGGTTTATTTCTTATTTACGCCACATGACAGCAGGTCATTTGAGGTCCTGTTCTATATGTGTTCACATTCTGGGTCTCAGACTGAAGGAGTGGCGCTATATCATTCCAGAGACAGAAGCGAAAATGCCGTGGCTGAGTCTTACAATGACTCTTAAAGCGTCTGCTGGGATGTGGCACATGTAGCTTCTATTCATGTTCCATTGGCCAAAGGAAGCGAATGGCCTAGGCAGACACCAAGGGGGCAGTGAGGTATAGCCCTCCCCACAGAGAAGCACTGTGAGTCTCATTGCTATGGTCAGAGATGGATAACCCTTTTACTGAGAGTTCAACAAATAGTTGGGAATAATAATACAACCTATCACGAGAGCCTAAAGTGAAAAACATGCATTATGCTGGGAACAGATCCTATTCTTATTCCCATTTTGCAGGCGAGGAAACTGAGGCTCAGAGAAGATAAGGGCCATGTAGTCATATAGTCCTATGCTACTCTTAGAACTGCAAATTCTGAGCAGCTCATCTCAATTTCTCTGCCATGGATCACCTTGTTGGTAATAAAACCCTGTAGATAGTCCAGAAGACCCACTGCTTTCTATTTCTGGAAACCAAGCTCTGGAGTTCATGAAGAGCTCACTAAAGGTCAGCACGTAGAAAGAGAGGAAGAGGCTGCAGACAGTGGAGACAGGAAGTTTGGGGGCTCATCCGGGGGCTCTGCCACTAAATCACTGTTCACCTTCAGGAAGTTATTTAACCTCTCTGGGTCTCTGTCATCTGAATATGGAAGAGGTCCTAGTATAGCTCAGAGTATGAAATTTTAAGGTTAATCTGGCTGTAGGATGCTGATATCTAATCACACTATTCCCAGGGGAACTTGGGAGTCCCTCCTCAGAAGCCCTGTTCTTTATTTGAAAACTACCTCGAAAGATACACATCTATGCTCATTATTCAGCCATCCATCCATCTATTTATCCATCCATTCACTCATTCATTCATCAAAGGTTCATGGCAGGTCCTCTGTGCCAGGCTCTACACTAGGCCCTGGGGGTGCAGAGATGAATCAAATGTGGTCTCTTGCCTGTAGGACTTTACAGTCTATTGGAGGAGACAGAGATACAGATAATGGCGAAAGCTGCAATAAGTTGTTCTAACCACAAAATGGTGTGGTCAGAGCTATCAAGGAGTCTGTGCAAAGAAGCTGCACCAGGCCAGGGAGGAAGCGACTTCTTTGGCCCAGGTGTCAGCTCCTGGGGCCGACAGATGAGGGAGGAAGAACCAGCAGAGAGGCGAACACCATGAGTTCAGACGAGGCCTTTGGTATGTGCAGGAGGAGGTGTCCAGCAGGTCACTGAGACTGGGTCTGAGGCCGGGGTGGGTGTGGGGGAGCTGGAGGTTCAGGATGTGGATTGGGTGTCTTTCACTGAGGATGGTCACGGAAGCCATGAAAACATACGAGATTGTGATTTCCCTTCTGCACACCGTTCCTGAACTTCCGGTGGCCCGGCCGCACAGAGCGGCCACACACACCAGCCTTTCCTGGGGAGGGCCCTGCAGGGGACTGACCTAAGCTGGGTGCACCAGTGTACAAGTCAGCCCCGATAGGAACAAATGTGCAACACCAATTCTGTTTTATGGCCTTGTCTGATGCTAGGACACGTAGAGAGGTCACCAGGTCATCCTCGGTGCAGCAGGGACATAAATCAGGCAGCACCCTGCTTCCTGAGGCCCCAGCCGAGGAGGACAGGGCCTATCCACCTCTAACTGGGATCAATTACAGGCCATTCCTGTGCGGGCCCAAGCTTCCTTCCACAGAGTTGTGCAGGCCTGGCCCCAGGAGGCCTGGCAGAGAAGCAGCTCTTAGGCCGTGTCTGTGACAAGATGCAGGGCTCTAACCTGGACAGGGAGAAAGAAAGAGCTACTCGCCTAAGTGGAGAAGGTAATAACGGTGATAAGGAAATGGTATCTACCAAGTGCACTGGTCTAGGGCATGCCTTAACGTGCATGCTTTCATTTTAACGCCACTGTGACCTTCTCAGGTAGGTTCTCTTGCTGGCCTCATTTGTAAAATGAGGAAACTGAGGCTCAGGGAGATTGGGTAACTTGCTCAAGGCTACCCAATCAGAAAGTGGTAGAGTCCTGAATTCCAACCCAAGCCTGTCTGCCTCCAGCAGCTCAACTCGAAAGAGTGGTAGAGAGATGACAGCTGGCCCAGACAGCCTGTCCTTTGGAGTCAAATAGGCTTGGCTTCCAACGTTGGCTTTGCCACTACTTAAGCGTGTGGTCTCAAGCTGGTTACTGAACTCCCGAAGCCTCAGCTTCCTCGTCTGTAAGACGGGGAACACAGAACCTACCTTGTGACATTGTTATGCAGACTAAGAAGAATACATGCAAAGTACAAGTAAGTGCTCAGGTGGTAGTATTATTGTTATCCTCATCACCATCCTGATCCTTGCCTCATACCTTTGCTTACCACACTCGAGTAAATGGAAGAGTAAGTACAACAGCTTCAAGCATGAGAGAAGCTTGCACACCGGGGGGCCTGAAAGTGATCTGATCTGGTGTAAGTAGAAAGAGGGGTAAAGTAACAGGATAGAGGTTCAAACGACAGACAGAGGCTGTATCACGCAAGGTTGGCTGTAAACCGTAAGGATTTAGGGCTTTGTTCTGAGGTCAACTAGAAGCCATTGAAGAATTCTAAGCAGGTAGAGGAGTGTAGTTGACTTTGCTTCTCAGAGAGATGCTCTAGGTGACCCATCTGTTCTCCCTAGTACCCCTAGTGAGTACAGCAGTGCCTAGGACATGGTGGGTGTTCAAAGACCTTTGTTAAATAAATTTGCCCAAAGTTACCGCTTTATCCAGGCCTGCTCAGTTATGAGAAACAAGTGAGCACTCTTGTTAGCCCAGGGAAAGATGGTGTATTTTAGGGATCATTTTAGAGGCTGTCTAGGGAAGATCAAGAACAGAGACTAGAATGGGGACATGATCTTGAATCCAGGTGGCTGCAGATCCTCAGCAGACACGATGCACAGGTCATCAAGGGCGCAATCTGCCTGCTTCGTTACTCCCTGCCGCTCCCTCTAATTATTATTATTTGTTTCTTACTTCAAAATCTCAGAGAGACAATCTGATGGGCTTACTCTCATCTTTTCATGCAGCATGAGTCTGAAGGAGGAAGCCATGAATACCTGAATGACATTGGGATTCCATGAGATAAAAAGGAGGGAGGGGAGATAGCTGTTGGGAAGGCAATCGATAGCGAACACTACATTACCCAAATAATTATTTAATTGCAAGTTGTGATACGTGCCTTGAAGGAGAAGTACAGGGTGCCATAAAGGGGTGTAAGAGGATCTAAATTAGATTGGACGCCTACAGATTGACTGTTCTTGAGTCAATACTCTATTACTTAGGATACAGGCTAACTTAAATGGGATGCAAGTTTATTTTTCTCACATGAAAAGTCTAGATATGAGTAGTTCACAGCTGGCAGGGCCAGCTCTGTCCCAAAGAGTCATCTGGGACCCAGGTTGGTGGTTTGATGCTACTATTCTCAAAATGAGGCTCCCATTTCTGAGTCCACAGCCCCAGGGGTAAGCCAAGGAAGCTGCCACATCGCTTCTGCTCACCTCCTATTGACAACAAACCACAGCTACATAGCCATACTTATCTGTGGGAAGTCTGGGGGATGTAGAATCCGGCAGGGCAGCTGTGTGTTCTCTGTTACAACTCGGGGTTGGGGGAGAAGAGAGAGGGAAAGGAACCCATGGAGGCAAGAGGTAGTGTGCGGGGCACACGCACTGACCAGCAGTCCGACAGACTATTGAGAGACGTTCAGGGGCAAGCCCTGCCACGGGAACATCTGCCCCACTGATGTCCAGGGCAGAGCGGAGGAGGCAGCAAAAGCAACAGATATGACCGCTGCAGAAGCATGCATGGGGCAACGCTGGGACTCCCCCAGATGCCAAGGGCACAGCGAGCTTGTGACGATTCTGAGCCTTGCAGTTTACCTCGGTTAGGATGACGCAGTATTGAATTAGGAACATATGTGTCCAAACGATATCGTGGTCTCTTTCGTTCCCGCAGGCTGACGAGGTCTGTGAGCATCCAGGTTATCCCTGTCACACAGAGGGAGGCTCCTGGATCAGAGTGCTGCCGGGTCTGGGTGTGGGAGGGGGAGGCATGGAAGGAAGGTCCAGGCACCAGATCAAAATAGGGGAAGACGTTGACAAAGCATGCTTGCGGTGTTCAGGTATCCCCCTAAGAAGCGATAGCCTCCTGTGCATGCTGTGGCCTGCAATCAAGCAGGGGCAGTGGCATTGCCCAGGACCCCGGAGGCATGGCTGCAGGTGTGGCCAACAACAGCTGTGCCTGGCGGGAGCGGGGGTGGCAATCAGGCCCTGAAGGATGAGTCAGCTCAGCAGGAGTGTGGAGAGGGTTGAGGGTCAGCAGAATAGCCTGGCTGTGGTGGGAAAGGACTTCTCCTTGAACAGAAGTGAGGTATGTTTGGGAATCAATACAAGTTGGTGCAGACACTTAACGGAGCTGGAGACCATCTGATCACTCAAAAATCACTGTCCCAAACCCACGCAGATTGTTCCAGCTCCTCCCCTCTCTTCCCTTTCCGTTGGCAGGTGATGGTGGCTCCCTTCCACCTTGCTCCCCCATCCACTGGGACTGTATTGCTGAGAGGCACCGGGTCCTGCATATTTTAGCAAGTGGCCCTCAGATCTCAATAGAGATGTGAGAAGAGGCTCTTTCCCACAGGAAGGTTTTGGGTCCTCCCTTGGATAAGATTGGTGAAGTAAGTCCTTGGAGCCTAAGGAGGAAGATGTTACTTAGTCAGAAGAAAGGTATGAGATGGGGCACCTGGGTGGCTCAGTCAGTTGAGTGTCCAACTCTTGACCTTGCGGTTCATGAGATCGAGCCCCACTTCAGGCTCCGTGCTGACATTGTGGGGCCTGCTTGGGATTCGCTCTCTCTCTCTCTCTCTCTCTACACCTTCCCTGCTCCTCTCTCTCTCTCAAAATAAATAAATAAACTTAAAAAAAAGAAGAAAAGAATGAGAAAAAGCATGGAGACATAGCTGGATATAGTGTGTTGAGGGGGTTCTGTGGGGGTGGTAGCAAAGGGGGCAGCTTGTCACGTGTAATGCTACCCGCTGCAGGAAGGAATCAGAGCCTGGCCCGAGATGACACCCAGCTCAGAAGGACTTGTAGCTGAGGTCATGAGATGAGGAGCTCAGGATGTCCACTGACTAATGATCCATTTCTGTAGATGGCTTTCTGGTGTACAAAATGCTTTCACAACTCTCACTGGTTTAGCCGTCTATCACCGTGGAACACTGCAACCCAAAACAACCACATTCATTTTGCTCACAGACCCGCAATTTGGGCAGGGCTTGGCAGGAACAACTCGTCTCTGTTCCACTTGGCATCAGCAAGGACAGTTGGAACCATCGGGAAGCCCTGTCACTCACACGTCTGGCACTGGATGCTGGGGCATGAGCTGAGGCTGTGATTTGGAACACCTATGTGGCCTCTACGTGAGGCCTGGGCTTTCTCACAACAGAGTGGCTCGGTTCCAAGGGTGAGTGTCGCCAGACTGAGATCGAGGTGGAAGCTTTTCTAACTTAGGCTTGGAAGTCATGTTACATCACTTGTGCATTTGGCTTGTTAGCAGTTGGTCACTAAGGTCTTCCCATATGCAAAGGGAGAGGAATTACACTTTGCCTGTGGTTAGGAATAGTGTCAAAAAATTATAGACATGTTTTAAAAACACCACGCCCTGAGAAGTTGGCCTGATGGGGTCTACGTTCCAGAAAATCTGGGTGATTTGCCAAGATCACACAGCCACCAAAAGACAGAACCAGGTCTAAGTATGATATACCTGCGTGTGTGTGTGCGCGTGTGCACGTGCACTCACACACACACACACACACACACACACACACACACACACCCCTAACCTAGCTAGTACTTTACATAATTTGCCATCACTACTAAGTTATCTAATAGTCATTTTATTTTTAAAGTTTATTTATTTATTTTGAGAGAGAGAGAGAGAGAGAGAGAGTTTGCAGAGGGAGGCAGAGAGAGAGAGAGAGACAGAGAGAGAGAGAGAGAGAGAGAGAGAATCCCAGGCAGGGCTCAATTCCATGACTCTAGGATCATGACCTGAGCTGAAATCAAGAGTTGGATGCTTAACTGACTGAACCACCCAGGTGCCCCTAGAATACTCGTTTTATTTATTTAAAAATTTTTTTAAAATGTTTATTTATTTTTGAGAGAGAGGGCAGAAAGAGAGACACACACAATCCAAAGCAGGCTCCAGGCTCCGAGCTGTCAGCACAGAGACTGATGCGGGCCTGAACCCACAAACTGTGAGATCATGACCTGAGCTGAAGTCGGATGCTTAACCAACGGAGCCACCCAGGAGCCCCAAGAGAATAATCATTTTAAACTCAATGTTTCAAAAGTCGGACTCTTATTTTCCCTAAACCTGTTCTTCCATGGTCTTGGTGCCATCCTTGACTTCTTTTTCTCTCATATCCCCCCCTCAAACCCATCAGTCAAGGCTGCAAGTTCTGCCTTCAAAATGCAGCCAAAATCTAACCACGTTTTCCTTCTTCTCTGGTTGGCCATCATGGTACAAGCTGACATCATCTCATACCTGCATTTTTGCAATAGCTCCTTGCTTGTCCCTATACTTCTGTTCTCACTTTCCCACTGCTACCCTCACCCATTCTGCTCTCATCATAGCAGCCTGAATGATTCTTTTACAGTAGAAATCAGATTGTGTCACACCTCTTCTGAAAGCCCTGTGATGACCCCCTGTCTCACTCAGAGTTGCCAAAATTCTTTCAATGACCTTCCTGGCCTCGTCTCCTACAACTCTTATAACACCCTGTTATTCGCCTCTTTCCCCAGAACTGTAGCAAAGGCCATTCATCCCCAAGCAGAGCATCCTGGCAAGGTC